AGCTACCGTCGAGTATTGCCCACTAAATGTCCAATAATTCCAATCAGTCTCCGCAGTCAGCGACACGCGCCTGTAAATGTCACGGCATTCCTGCATGAAACTCTCGAGACAATCAGCAGCAACCGGCGTGCCAGAGGACGGAGTCATGCGCTCGGTGTGCTGGTCCCTGCCATCAGTGAAGAATCAATTGGCCGCTAATGGAACCATTCGAGCAATTAGTACCACGACAAATTCATAAGCGATGATTAGTAAAGTTGGTTGTCAGTGCAATTTCCTGATAGGATCCAGTTCAGAGGCATAAACTACCAGCCCCCCATTCCCCTTCCCTAACATAACACTAATACAATAAAAGAAGGCCAGAAAAGCAGAAAATTAGTGGTTAGCCCCATCAAAGAGCCCGAGTACTTCAGAAGAGCCGGCATTACTCAGCATTTAGATGTCATGTAACATAACCCTGAAATGCTATCGCTCCCTTTCACATAGGACTCCATCTGTGAAACCATGCTAGATGAATTATGAGACTGTAAAACGCTGAGAACTGATAACCAGACTGACATTATCTCCACACAGCCAGAGAAAGATTTAAAAAAAAAAATCATCTTTTGAAAAAACAAATCTGCTCATGTCAGAGGTTTGCTTAGTAAAAAAATTCCTGTGGCCATGTGACTTTGATCCAGGATCAACAGTTTCTGCGCTCTATTGTGTAGAACAACTGAATGGGAGATTCCAGAGGGGCCCCAAGCAAAATGATTAGGAGCCAACTCTTAGTATAACTTCATTCATTCCAAAGTTATATTTGGAATGTAATCGGTTATCTACAGCATCCACCATTATCCATTCATGTGCATGTCTTGTCCTGGATTAAAACTCCAGATTGCAGTATTTAGACACTGAAGCCTGCCGCTGAAAATCAAGTTCATCCAAAGGCACCTGCTCCTATGGAAGCAGGAACGCGACTATATGTCACGGCAGGTTCAAACTCCAGGAAGCAGCGAGCAAAGGAATCATTGTGTTTAGTCAGCCAACACAAAAGACTCTGTACGGACTACTTACGACAATTCTCCTCATCGCTGCTGTCGGGGCAGTCATCATCTCCATCACATCTCCACACGATCGGGATGCACGCTCCGCTCTTGCATTGAAACTGCCCGGTCTCACACTCTGACTGCGTGTGAGTTCCTGTATTTTGAGGGAAATATTTTTAAAGAAAGAAAGAAAGAAAGACAAACTGTCCGTCACTTTCATTTCTCATTTAGAGATCACATTATGAACTTCACAGGAGTGAATCAGAGAAACAAAAACACAACAAATTACAAACAAGTTTGGGAGGTTAACTGACAAACTTTCATTTGTGACTAATGAAAGTGAGAAATTGGTAAAGTTGCCCCAATTAATAATGTTGCTGCTGTAATCAAGTAATAATTCAAGTGTATTTCAAATGCCAACTATCCCTTTTTCCAACATGACTGTAATGGGCATGCTGTTGTTTATGTACCACTATGCCACCTTTGGTTAACTTAGGTTGCTGCCGAAGTTCCTGCTGGCACTTAAACACTCAGACCAATTTCAGGCTATTTCATCTGTTCAAAATGTTAGCTCCAATTACAAAGAATGCATCCAATGCACACCATTACAATCTCCACTCAGCGATCACATCACCACTGACAGCCTTTTCCCATCTTTCAGCATCAGCTAGAGAGCATGTGCTGCCCTTTATTTCATTCACTGTCACCTCCTACCGCCGCTAATAGCAGTCCAAATGCGGACATAAGTATGTACGCACGATGCACACAGCACATTATCTCGGCACTTAAGAAGACGCCGATCGCACTGACAGACAACTCGTTTGTTTTGTTTTGGGGTTTTTTTCAAACAGGCAACCCAGATCCCCTGAGAAAGCGTTGCCAGTGTCCGCGCTGCGATGCAAATTCACCCCTCTATACCTCTAAACAAGTCCCCTACCTTTAGCGCAATGGAGCTCCAGGAGTAACAGATGTAATAGCACGAGCTTTCCGACCTCTGTCCACATCGTTAGATCCTGGGGGGCTCCGCGGTTGTCCGCATGTAAGTAAAATTTCCTCCCCACCCACCCAAAAAAAAAAAAAAAAAAAAAAAGACAGTGTGAAGAATCTCCAGCGAGTGACTCGCTCCGTGCTGCTCTGCCAGCCTGTCTGCTCGGAGTGTGTGAGTGTGCTCAGCCCGGCTTGCTGCTTTCTCTCCCTCTGCCTCGGCTGCAATTTGAATCAGTGACGCTTATGGGCGGGATAGTTTCAGCGTGTGACGGTGCCTGCGGTTAAAGTAGTAGGTAGGAAAAAAAAAAACTACGTGGTTGGCTGCTAGCCAGAGGAGACACATCTGCAGAAAGAGCTGAGTCACAGTCATTTTTCTTTCATTTCCTATTGAGCATTTTAGTAGCAAACCGAAAGTAAACTGCTAAATAAATAGTTCTGACTTCCTCATCTTGAGTTAGCTGGAATGATATATATGCCGGTAAGCTAGTCAAAGGCTTAAAAATGTAGCCAAAATTAAGGAAATGTAACAAGCAAGAGGAAGTTGTCCACCTCCGTGAAACAACGGAAACCCAGACAGGTTCTCTGAAACGTGGTTCACTTTTTCTGGAAGTGGGTGTGTACTGTAATGCAGACCGTCTTCTTTCACCAGTCCTAACCCGTAGTTTTGTGGTCTTAACCTAGCGGTTTTTTCATTGGTGTATCAGCAGGTGAAAATACAAAGGTGGCTGAATATAAGAGTGTAAGGGCTGCTGCGCAGAAACTGGAAACAAAGATCGTTCCTCAGTGACTATACAAATCCCTGTAAAATGATAATGTCCTTAAAGGTACAAAAAGGCATTTTATTTATGTTGTTCAACAGAAAAAAATGATGTTGTGCTCATAAATATTCACTGTTTAGTGTGTAATTATGTCTTCCAGTCACTTGATGTGTTCTCATAAACTTAGAATTTAATCCATTAAACAGAAGCGGGCGCCAGTTTGTGAAAGCCTCTATGTTGTCACGCCATCTTCAATACAGTGGCTGAGATGGATGTTGAAATTCTGCCTAATCACGTTTAATGTATGTGGCTAGAATATACTCGTAACTCCTCCACATTTACTGATATCCTCTTCCTACTCACCTCAAACCTCATCTCCTGACTGAAGTCAGCGCTCTAACACACACTTACTGTCCATTATTTCCAGCACTTATTGTCAGAAGTTGCTGTTTATGAGATTATAACATTATGCCAACTTACGCAGGGTTTGAGGTTCTAAAAAAAATACATCACACGAAATAGTCTAAATAGTTTGATTACATTCTTACATGGTATGAATGTTTATTCTCTAAGTGTTCAAGTCCAAAATGTTAGATCCATCTGAAAGAAAGTTTCACAGTTTAACTCCTGTGCCTACCAACAAAAAAGTTCAGATTATTCTTAACAACTGACTTCAGTATTGCTGTCATGGGACAGAAGTGAGCATCGATGACTCATCGACTCGTATTGGACTCCATTCACAAAGTTTTACAGCCTCCTTCAGAGTAAACAGACATGTATACCCGCCATATTGACACTGCAGGCATCTTGGCTGCTTAAGTAAACAGCAAACTGACAGTCTACAGTCGCTACAGATGAATGGCGGCCAGAGTTGTTTGCCCTACAGCGGCCACCATATTCAGGGTTATGCACTTGAATTGAGAAGATATGAAAACACAACTCAGTTAAGTTACTTTAACTGACTTAAGGATACGCAAGTGGATAGGTGATGGATGTATTTGTTATACCAAATTTGAATATGGTGTCCCAATCGAAATCATAGATTGTACATAGAACATGGGCACAGCCATCGTGACTTCACTCATTGCTTTTGGGCTCATTTTAAAGTTTCATACTAGCAATTTGGCTACTATCAGGTTTTTTTGTAGCTATAAGTGGGGGTGGGTGACATAGTCTCAAAAGTATAACATTTTAAACAAAGGTATAAAATAATTTCTTAACACTGTTATTTAACAATCACTAAAGTATTTAACCTTATAGCTCGTTAGGAGCCTGCACAATATTGTCACGTAATAAAACTGAAAAATTTGCACTACCTGGGTATTTCTATCTTGAGTCAGGTCTTCTACCTGTTTGCTTAAAGCATGGCTTTTCTACAATGTAACCACATCAGTAATTTCTATCCACCATTAGCTCTTCATGTCATATGGTGGATGCAGGTTACTGATGAGTGCCCCAGCGACAGTCGGAGGAGTCATTTGTTTATGAGTCACGACTCACCAGCTGCGGACCATGTTTTACAAGCCGTAGAAGGTCACTGTTGTACCTCTGTCCCAGCCTCTTCTTGACAATGATCTGAACCAATTTTTTTAAAATATGGATTCATCACTCAATTAGACCTGTTCCCACTGATTTTTTTCACAGCCATCGTTTCACTAAAACTATTTTTGATGAGTGATCTAGTGCATCGCTAAGATCCCATGTCACATTATTTTTTAGGCCGGACTCGTTGTCTTTTGTTCTTCACTAGTCCTATTTTGTCAGATCTTTTAAGGACATGCTAAACACCATGTTGCATAGCTCTTTAGGACTTACTCTGTAAGTGCAAAAATACTATTTTATACCAGTCAAACTGTGTTATCCTTGGCATTTTTCATAGGTGCCATGTGTTTTAGCAACAGGCGCTTAGTAACAAAGTGCTTAAACAAAAAGTTTCTTAAAAAACATACATCTGAAAATGGTCAGGTACAAGGACTGGACCAGAAATGAGTGAAAAAGCAGATAATGTCCAAAGAAAAACATTGAAAGACCTTCAGAAAGCTTAGAGAACTGTCGCAACCTCTTCAAAAATACAAAGGAGTGACTCAAAACATTTGCACAGTACTACGTTTATTACTTTCTACTTCACTTGAAGGACGCATAAGCAGTTGGCGGCCTTGCAGCGTAGCGGTGTAAAAGTCTGTATAGTCACAACTAAATGGAGGGCACATGGACAGTGGTTCAAAGACTTTAAACAGATGATAGCATTGGGTTGTACACTCACAGATACAGAAACCAGTGTAACACTTGTGTAACTCTTGGCAAATACGTTTATTACCAGAGATGCCATAATATTCTTTTAAGACAACCTTGAATCACACAGTTGCTGATAGCTGCTCATGGTCATTTTTGGCTCTCCAAATCCCCTTAAATGTTCACTTTGTGCAGAGCCTCACCTCTTTATATCATTTATAATTGAGGGGATCGGTTGTTATTCCTAGAATTTGGCTCAACCTGAATACACAGTGCAGAGCAACATGCTGACAACATAATAAGTACCTGACAGCTAAATGAGAAGGCATATTGGTAATGTAAATCACACTGTTGTCCCAAACAGTCACGAGGTTGTCTTGAAAAACTGACCTTTGCCTAAATAACTGGAAAAACTGAGACCTTTTTCAGGAATAAGGACTCCCGTGTGCTCAAATCATATTCTGCTCCTACAAGTCAGAAACTGGTCACAATGAAATGTTCACTGAGCAGCACTCACTGCTTGTTTTGTTCTCCATCAAGTTTTTCTTTTCAGTGTACTACCACATGGCAGGACTCGAGTGAGCACCAGATGAAAATTCATGTGAAAGCAAGCATCTTCAGTGGAATCACCATGTATTCATATAGTCTTCTCTCCAACATGGTGTGAAATAAAGTCGTGTTGTCTTTGCTCTGTAAATGTCCTTTTTAAAGTTTGTCAGCAGCATCCGAAATGGCCATTGTAATCCAGTGATAAATGTAAAAGATAACATTAGAAGTCCTCGTGTAATTTTCCCACATACATCTAATTTTCATGCCTTGTGTTGCTATGGGAAACAATATAAGCTAGCTAATAAATGGGAACACCACTGGCAAATCATGTTTTATTCACTGGCAAATGCCGCAAGCTGGAGCTGTTTTTTTAATGTTTTCCAGTGCATTTAGCAAGGTTTATTTTGGTTCCTCATCTTCTAAAGTAAGCTTGTTAAACAGTTGAGTAACTGCCGTGCTTGCATTTAAAAAATTGCAAGCGATATGTGTCATATGTTTTGCTGAAATATGAGGCCGGTTGATTTTTAGCTGTCTGGAAGAATCATAGTGAATAGCTTAAGAATAAAACAAAGTTGGGGGTATGTAGAGTCATATCAGTAGAGATACTTAAAGCCAGAAAAGTGACCTGACATAATGAGAGAGAATGACAACCGAGTTCAATCTTGAACTGAATGAAAAGTGTGTGCATTGAAAGGGAACAGGTCAGCACTGCTGTTCTATGCAGCAAGAGTTCAGTTTTGATTTTCTGCAGTTCAGCATGGCTCATGTGCATGAAATGACTTTAACACATGAATCAACACATGAATAATGAATAAAACTACTGTATAAATAGAAGGGGAGGAAAAAAATACAACTCGTGCCTCTTATACATTATTCAATAAAAAAAAGAGTGTGAATGAAACATTAAAAAGCTAGCACAGGTGCAGAAAATGGTTAAAAGGGGGGGGGGGGAATGTTTGGCATCACTTTCACATTAACTGTGTTTGTTGTTCCTCGGGGGAAGGAGTACATGCTACAGGAGACATACCAGAACAGCTAGAGAAACTCAAGAAAACTTTAACTCTTATAGTATACAAATTGGGTTTTTTTAAACTGTGCGTATCTGTTGTTAGAGTTTATTGCACATGTTTGACTTTTCATGTACATGTGATGCCCTTTTGAAGCTCAGAGGATAACACCGTGTCTGCTGCACCTGTGGCGTAGCCCCACAGTACTGGTGAACATGAGGATGGGCATGAATAAGAGCAGAAGAGCAGGTTTTCTGTCAAGACCTGATAGATAGATAGATAGATGCCTGCAGCAACATCATAAAAAAATCTCAAATGAATATCAGCGAATTAAAAGGTCACATGCATAAAATAACCAACTTCCTGAATTATTGCAAGTGAGCAGCAATCTGCAGGAAGAAAGATCAGCTGCATTAGATGGATAGGCTTTGAGATTGGCTAAAAGTACATAAAAAAAACTCTTTCTGCCAGTAGTATCTCATTGGAATCGGTTAAAATCGTATTTTTTGTGCATTGCCAACA